TCAATATGAATAATCCCTACGATTATTTTAAAATTTAAGGAAAGTTCTTTCCAAATTTAACAAAACTAATAGTTTTATCTTAGTTTTAATCTTAGGCATTTATTCTCAGGACAAAGTGACCTTCAAGCTTCTGGATCTACAAACTACTCCCTTCAACGGCCTCCTATCTACAAGGGATTATTGCTATCCCAGTTTTTACTCTCGTTGTATCTTTTCTCCGAATTAAAACTATAGATCATTAATAAGGAAAACTCTCATTTTGTTAAAGAAAGAAATAAATCTTTCTCTTATCTATGGGAAAAGTGATTTGGAAACTCATATCGTTTCTTGGAAGATTGGAATGTGAATGTTCTATTCAAAATTGGTAGAATTGATATAAGATTGATAGAATGTTTTTTTGCTTTCTCATAAACTGAATGCTCAAATTCGTTGTACCTTTTCTTCTAGTCCAAAAGCTTCTATTTATACATCCAATTAAGGCAAAATTATTGGTCTCTTACATCATTGATTACATCATTATCCAATTACGGAGTTTTAAAAGTCTAACCACTAAATTATCGTGGCTCTATGATTGTATAAGACAATCAACTTTATTTCACATCTCCTTTCTTCAGGGCATTACCCTTCTATTATTGTCATTCTGATCCTACATCTTTACATGCAGATTGGACAGTCTCACAGCTGGCAAGATTCTTTTATGGTGGTAGGACATCCCGAAAATTCATGTATTCCAAATTTTGTGATATATTCTTTCAATATCTCGGATTTTCCATAACCTCCATTTGTCACTATCATCCATTTTTCATATTGGCATAAGCATGAAAATTTTTATCATACAAATTTTTAGCAATATTGTATATGGTATTGATCTCAAGTGTTCTTCTATGTTTTATCCATGACTTGGTTACCTTTGGTATTTTCTTCTCATTTTCCATGATATCTATATTGAAGTTGGCCGTTACATATCCAATTGATATTATATGTTCAACCAGATAGTAAACAATTTTATCATATTCAGGACTTATTGAGTAGAGTTTTAAGTATACCCTTCATCTCTTGGAGAATTTTGACACATCTTTTATGAACATTTTAT